ATAAGAGATGTTAGTTAGATAGAGAGGATACATTTTTCCAAGTTTTTAGGATCAATATTGTAACGAGTTTTGTATTCTCTAATTGAAAAAAAAATCTTATTTACCTTCGTGTGTTTAATCTTTTCATTGCTTTTAACATGAGCTCTATCTTTTAGAATCTATTCGATCCTACAAGTGGTATCAGAGCAAGGATTTCACCGAGTGAATTTCAAATCTACGAATACTTATGTGTTCTTCAAGTTTTTCATTCATCGTTTTGATTTTCCAAATCTGTTCCACATATGCAAGTCATTTGCAATTTAATCTAGAATTTCTTGTTTTAGAACTCGTTTCGATTTGAATATATGTTTTAGCTCATCGATTTGATTTATTGTTTAATTTGTTTCTGAAATCATGTCAAAAGAAGATTCACACGTTGTTTCGTTCAAGCTATCCAGTAGCATTGGATCAACAACAAAGATTCCAATTATGTTTGCAGAAGACTATGGAGTTTGGGTGTTACACTTTGAAAACTACATCACAGGAATTGAGAAACATGGTTCTTACATATGGAACTCTATAACAGCTGGTCCTCACTAGTTCACAAAGGCAAAGGAACCTATTTATACACTTGTTGATTATGAACAACTTCAGGAAAAGTACACTGATATGGTTGCTGAGGAGAAGGATAAGCTTGAGAGTCACTTGAAAACAAATAGAGATATACGTTTCGCATTTTCACCAAGCACATTTAGACTCGTAAGCTCGTGTAAAACGGCAAACGAGATTTTGGAACGTCTTAAGGAGCTCTATTATGGTGATGCAGATCAAACTCACTCAGTGCAAACTTCACTTGTTTCTGAGTTTGGATCTTATAAATAGAAGGATGGAGATCAATTGATCAACTTTCAAAGAGATTTAACGTACACCTAACATACGTGGATGAGCTCCGCGACCAACATCGGGCTAGTACGCTGAGCGTACCACCTACTACGCCCAGAGTACAATATACAAGGTTTTTAATTAAGAAGGGTTAAATATGGAACATACCAATTTCAAGTGTTACAATTCTCCCCACTTGAATCAGACTTCGTCCTCGATGTCCGCTGCTCCAAATAATTATGGATAGTGCTCCCTTATCTCATCTTCCGGCTTCCTAGTCCACTCTGAACCCTTCCGATGTTGCCATTGCACTTTCACCTACCCAACAACCTTGTTCCTTAATGTTTTTTTCTTTGTATTAAGAATCGCCACTGGTCTCTCAATATAATTCAGGTGGTCATCCACCTGAATATCCTCCAACGGCACCAATGAAGAATCATCCATTAAGCACTTCTGCAGCTGAGAAACATGGAACGTGTTATGAATCTGTCACACCCCTAGATCAGACGGCGTAAACGTCGGGAGGCGGGTGACTACATTGTGCAGTATCATAACAATTGAATATAAATGAAACAGAGCAATCCAAACATCATACATTGAGATAACAAACTTACATTTTTTACATATTGTATTTGTTCTTCGATTTACGCAAAAGTGACATAAGCAGAACAATTCCAAACTACAGCTAAATAGTCCTGCATCCGCGTCCCTTGTTACCTGCTTACTAGATCCCTGAGAATACAAGTGTTTTGAAAAGCGTCAACTAAAAAGTTGGTGAGTTCATAAGCATTTTTGTATAAAATTCGTTTCACACTTGTTTAGAATCGTTCTCATTGTACTTTCAGAAAATCCGATATTTTCTATGAAATCGTTTGAAGCCTTGCTTTGAAAATCATGGATATATGTGTGCATGTCATTACTTTCGTTCATCCTTATAAGGAATGATTTTGAAAAGTAGTGAAATTTATAAAGGCGAGCTGTGTTCGTGAATAGTTCTTTTGAATAGTAATAGTCAACCGTTTCCAGAAAATCCCTTATTTTCAAAAAGAGAATATGGTTGAAAATCTTGTTCTTCTTATCGACTAAAATTGAGTGTGCATTCTAGTTTATCGTTATTGAAATCGTAGAAAATCGTTTTCTCCAGAAAATCCTATATTTTCTGCTATAAAATATATTCGTAAGTTCTACTTCCAACTGTGTATATGTGTGTGTTAGTTTATCATTTTCAAAATCGTTTAAAAACGTTTTCCATAGAGTCCTACGCTTTTTAATTTGTAAAATAGCAGTATTTAGACTCTATACTTGTTAGGAGAAAGAATCAACATGGCAATTGTGGACATTCTACGCGATAAAAAAGGATAGTCAACGCAACAAATGCGGACCATCACCTATCATGTATAGGACAGTCAACACAACGTGCCAAAATTTATTTATGAGGTTTTTCCTTGCATAAATTTCTAGATAACATAACATATTCTAGTGAGTCGTTATAACCATACTGATCTGACGGAATGTCTGTTTTGGCGTTTCTTAGGCGCCCTCATTTTGGAAAAGACATTTGTCACCCTAGACTGGCATGTCTAGCTGTAGCAAACAGCGAATGTGCGGGGTGTCAACCCCGTATAGATCTATACACAAATTTCCGCTCTCCCTCCAGGAGACTCTGGCTATAACTCCTTACAGGACTTTAGATGTATACTAATATTTTTATATTTAGGTACTTTTGAGATTTGTCTGACTAGAATATTAACAACCTTTTGAGCAATCGTTAGAGATCCATTATTTGTTAGATAAATAATGAAATTTGTACTCATTGAATAGAAATATCGTTCTCGTTCCATATCGTTGATTGTGCCGTTAACTGGGTGCTCGTGTTCGTCCCTTTTTGTTTATTGAAAAATAAGCCATTTCGAACGTTTAACAAAATGACCCAACATTATCGGAATCGACAAAAATGGTCTTTCTTTTCTATAAATTGTCGGCTCAGACCCATATTAGTCAAAAGAAAAGGTGTCAAGTTATAATTTGAGTAATTTATAACTGTAGGTTATGACACGCATTTTCTGTTTTTATGACATATAGAAACATTACTTATGTTCCTGAAGGTTTTACGACAGCAGTTTATGACATGCAATTTATTTTGTCATGAAAACTCTGTTTTCGTATACTTTTCTTGATAAAATTATTTATATTTAATATTCATAAATAATCACAAATAGTTTGGTTGATCTGGTAAAAGTCATGAGTATGACATAATATCCCAAGATAACCCTTGTATTTATGTTTGGCTAAAAATGATCCAAAATATTATTATTTCCATAATTTAATCACTTTCAAACTATTTTGTCCCACAACTTGTTTAAGTAAATCTTGAAGCAATCCTTATAGTTGTTATAAAATTCGTGACTTATACTTGGTAACATACTAGTTCTTGTTTCAAACATGATTTGTGAGATATAATCCAAACTCTTGAGGCTTAACCAAAATCTCGAGTTTTTGGACTATTTATAAGAGTTTTCATACTTAACACATGTAAGATGGCATGCATACACAGTAAGCAAATAAATCATGATTTACACAAGACTTTGACTTGTATTCTCCCCCAAAAACAATAGAAATCTCGAAAAGTAGGGGTATGAAGCTCACCTTGAGTTTGTTTTGTGGGTGATTTGAAGAGATGTTGAGGAGTTTCCAAGTTCTAACCCTTGGAGAGTTTGATAAACTCTTTGAACTTGAGGAGTTCCTAAGAATATTAACACATAATTTTATGTGTAAATATGGTGATATTAACAGAATAATGTGAAGAATCACTTAGCAAATTAGGAGATACTTACAAGAATTTTTGGAAATTTCATTGAAGAAATCAGATTGGAGCTTGAATGCTTTTGGGAGCATCTTAGGAGTTCACAGAACGTGACTAAGTTTTTGATGGAAAATAAAGAATTGGTTTACTCCTAAAGAGGATAAGGGAGTGAGAAGGTGTGCTTGGTTACCTGGTGGATATTGCATGTTTATCCGTGATAATCTTGGAACTTTACGAAATGTCGCATCAT